AATACATATATTATAAATTATAATATTATTACGATAGGAATGTGCTATGATTTTTTTTTTTTGATGACAATATAGAATAATATTATTGTGGCCATGTCTGAGAATTTATGTTATATACCTGGCAAATGTATTACACTTTCACTCGGTACTCGATAAAGGTCCGAACCACTTATTGTGCGGTTATACCTATAATTATACATATTATTGTACAACTGTCAAAACACTCATATTGTCGAAAAGTGATTTCTAAGTACAGTAATAGATACCTGTTACAAGATTTGTTCAGATTAGAATATTTCAACTCAAGTCAATATTTTATTATATTGTAAAAATTGACTTATACACTCGACAATACGAAAAAAGTAACAATAGTTTTTTGTGTTCACACATTTTTTTTTTATTTATCGAACAAAAACAATATGACATTTTTAATTTTGAATATAATTTCAAAAACGGAAACAATTTTGGAAACGTTTGCCGTTATATTATACAATTTTGTATGTTCAAAAAAAAGTTAGAACAAAAAAGAAAAAGCCGAAATTTATAAAGTCAATATTGTTCGATATAAGTAAAGAAAATTTAAATGGAAAAAAAATACGACGGACAGGAGGCACAATAAACTAGGGGGGGGGAGGATACGGGATGGCGATTTGGTGCGGATTTGCAGTGATGTGGCCACTGGTCACCTCTGCACGTCCCCACGACCGGTCCACCAGGTTGACGAGTGTCACGGGCGCGTTTGCTCGGACGCGTGACGACCTTGCCCAGCTGGCGAGGCCAGACCGAGACGGCCACGCGGGAGCGACTACGGTTGACGGCGACGAGCGGCGGCTATAGGGCGCGATGTCGTGCGCGTCGACGGTTGTGGACGGTGACGATACTCTGCGACGGACGGCGAAGACCAATAGACACGCGGAGAGAGTGAACAGAGATTTTGTGCTGCGGAACAGTTTGCGACGCGGCCGATGTGGGATTGCAGCGGGACGAAAAGGCGAGAGTCGTCGGATCCTCGACTCCCGGTAATTTTCGTCCTGGCGTCGTCCCTTCAGCCGCGTCTTCGTCCAATGACCGCCGCTGGACCAGTTAACTAACCAAACTATAGTCTGAGTTCCCTCGGGTCCGGCGCCGCTCACGTCCGTGTTCCTAACACATATAATCTCTATACACCACTGACTCACCCCGTGCCAAAGTCTGCGCCGTTGCCGTCGAAGCGAGTCGCCATCGCCGCCATCGTTGGTACCGTCGTCGGGGCGGAATCGTTGCCCGCGTCCGTACCTATGCTATAGCCGCCGCGTCGTCGCCGTTGTCGTCCGTCGCTCCGCGTGACCGTTACTGCAGCCGGGCGCTCGCCGAGCCGCCAGAGGGTCTCGCGCGTCAACCACGGCCGAGTGCGCTACGCCCGCGAACCCGTCTCGCCGGTGGTGGTCGGAGAACGTGCGCGGGTGACTTACCGCCGCGCACCTTCCGTGCTCTTTCCCGCATCCTCCCCTCCTTTGCGTCGCCGTCTCCAGTCGGTCGTCTTCGGCCCACGTGGGCTGTGCTAATAGTATTAGCTCCGGGCGGTTTTGCAGCCGCAGCAGAACAACACGCGAAAAACGCGTTTCACACTTTTCCACGTCGACTTTCTACGTGGAGAAACGGGTTTTTCGACTTCTACTGCAGGACTCTCCTTGCCGATTAGCTCACTGTCCATCACAGCTATTTCCTTGGCCGGTTGATCGATGTCTGCACATAATTCGTCTTCTGCAGCTGCAGGCATCTGCTCTACGTCTTCTACGGCTGTAGGCATCACTATATTGTCTTCTGCAGCTGCAGGCATCTGCTCTACGTCTTCTACGGCTGTAGGCATCACTATATTGTCTTCTGCAGCTGCAGGCATCACTACTTCGTCGTGAGGTCCGCCCTCGGAAGTCGGACTTGTGTCGACAGTCCCCAACTCCGAGGACGGTGCGTCGCCACCTGATTCCTCCTGAGATGCTGATGATGTTGTCAACCCGTCGTTCTCTTGGACAGTGTAGCCGAGTGGTGCTGTCTCGGTGGTCTGAGTTGCCGGCTCAGACTCTGAGAGAGACAGCGCATCGCCACTCGGCAATTCACTGTCCAAGGCAATTGATTCATCAACATGTTGTTCGTTCTCGTCTTCGTTTTCTAACCCTGGGGACTGTACGTCACCACTAGAAGTCGTTTCCATCATATCAATGGAAGATAGAAGTTCTGTTATTAATCGTATTAGGCTTTCGTCGTCGCTCTCATCTTCATATACTCCTTCCATTATACCGATTACAATGACCTCTAGAATTTCGAGTAATGCGGCCCGTACCTCATCGTTGCTTTCATTATTGACAGCCATTTTTTATTTGCAAGTAGATAGATTTATGCGTCAGTTGTAATTGAGAATTGCTAGTGAGCTAAATACAAGTCTCCCAACACAGAGACCGATCAATTCTAAAATCTCCCAGGCGACGACTTGTATCTATATATTGTTATATATAGCCAGATAGTACGTTCATCGGCTCACAGCATTACCTTTTCGAGCCCGTTAATTTTTCTAAAGACTATTATTATTATTATCATTATTATTGATATAGTATAGGTAGGTAGGTACCTAATATTCTGGTATTACGATTTGTATTACTCTGTGACTCGATGTATACTAAAAAGGCTTAGCCGCCCAGAATCTTAAAGTTAATTTGTTTGTTAAGTTAAATAATATATAGCTGATAATATTACATTTGTGTCATCTTTTTGACTTAATCCTAATTGAATATTTTACACTTTTTGTGTGTTATTCATGACATTTTGATATTATCTTCAAGGCCGCAGTTGGAACAAATTTTCGTGAGGGGTTTAAAACTAAATTATATATTTTCATGATATAAAAACCAACTAAAAAAGAAATTTATATATTATAAAAATTATATAAATGTTTTTTTATAGATAACCTACCTACATGTGTGATAAAATGTGTATTTTAAATTGAATATTTTTATAGTATAAAGTCTAATAGTTTTTTTGCGAAACAATCGTCATCTAGATTAATTTAAATTGTCTATGTAAACATTGTAAGCTACTATACACTCAAAATACCTAAACGTGTAAAGGCCCTGTCACAGTATCACACACGCATCCGATCCGTCAGGGCATCCGTGTACTAGGAAATACGAACTTATTGTTTTTCAATGGATATTTTATTCATACTCATCCGAGCTGAATCCGGTCTGAGCTTTCTGAGATCACTCCGATGAACTTTATCTGAAGGGTTTAGTTAATAGTTTTATTTAATCTTTTCATGGTAGAAGATATACCTAAGTCCTGGTGATGAGGTCGTAACTGGTAATGTATCTCATAGTTTCAAAAGAAAATATATAATTGGAAAAAATTCATAATTTAAAATTGAGAAGTCGACTTCTCCCAACTAGCACTTTGCTTTAGAAACTTGAAAATTTCACATATAGATATTTTGCTCGGAAATGTTCAGAACTCGCTCATACAGGTACCCTTGGCGTTTTACCAGAAGTCAGAAATCATAATTTTTTAGTGTAAGTATGTATTATCGTCATTTTAGAACTAGGTACCACTGAAAACCAAGGATATGTATATGCAGATTCAGAGTATCCTTCCAAGTAAAATTTAGCAAATTAATTGCACAATATCTTTGCAGTTTTTTAAGTTTCCTGGTCAAAGAGGGAGGAGGGAAACTTTACAGATATATTGTGACCGATATCTAATCTGCAGAACAAAAATTAATTTCAATTTTAATTCGTATTAAAATTCTGTAGTTCTACTGTCAAAAAACCATAACAGTTTGTAAATTTAACAAACATGTTGTTACTTATTAGTCCTATAGTAAAAATGAACTACCCAAAAGTACTTATACAATACGTAAAGTATAATATTCAATAGAACGTCAAGGGCGACGAAACAGTTTATGTAGGTAACCTAGCTGGTACCTTATTCTTGTATTTGTTGTCTACTGACTATATACTGGTTAGGTCGGATAAGAATTCAGAGGTACCTTGTATGTGATAAGTAATAGTTAGATAAATCCCAGTCCGGTGATCTGATGTTTGGCAACGATTACAAAATAGTCACTTATTTTGTTGCATTTACCTATTTTAACACATTTTTCTCGCCACCGATGTTGCCGCTTATTTATTATATTATTACCTTACAGTTTTAGTTAGTAGAATAATTAACAAAATTGTGGGCAAGTGGGTCACTGTAATGGATAGTGTTAAATTTGAATTCAACGTAAAATAACATTGTATAAGAAAAACGATATTGAGCGAAGATGGTTAGTCCGCAAAGCATCAATAATCAAAGTTTTTTACAAAATGTATCAACTTTATGTCGGAGTTTTTAGCCATTATTATTAATTATATTTTATTTTATACTTATTATTTTTAAATTTTTACTGTACCTAGTTCAGTGGATCAAATATACATTTATAATATATTATATTTATGAAAATAAAATTTTTTTTATATATTTTATATTTTATTTAAAAAAAAAAATAATAATATTGTATTATTAAATTCAATATTATTATTAATCAATAATAAACTTAGAAAAAAAATGTCCACATCAAAAATATATAGGGGGGGAAATGTTCATTTGGCATTTACCATGAATTATACGGAGCCTTTTCATTGAGTTTTATTATATTTAGAAATGTAATATGAATTGAAAAGGATATGGGAATAACATATATTATTTTTTATTTATAAATACATAAAAAAATCAACAATAAATTATGAAAATAATTACTATAAATATATTTCAGGAAGTATAACAATGGTTTAAGCCACGGCTATAGATAATATTTATATATTTTATCTAAAGCTGTGGTTTAAGTAAAGCATTTTAGTATTTATTTACCTATACATAATACATACAGACTCTTATCACACAATCATATGTTAACAAAAAAAAATATATAAAGTATTGATGGAAAAACAAAATTAATAATATTTAAAACTTAAGATTTATATTATTGTCAATTAATTCAATTTATAGAGAGTTGATTCAAAGTTAATACCAGACAATATGTTCACCAATGACCAAACGTATGGACCGAAAAATTCCTCTGGTTTCTCTTCTTCCACATATTTGAATTTAAGATCTGGAAATTTCTACAAAAACACACAATTAATGATAAAAATTATGGTATTCGTGTAGTATGCTACCTACTGTGAAATGCTACCTACAGGAAAATATGACCTACATACTCTTGTGTTATATTTTCATTTAATTTTACTACGGAAAAGTGACTGTGGCTTGAGTTATTAAGATAAACAACATATTATAACGTTTGTCGGTCATACAATTCTATAATAGTTAAATATCAATCAATTTTACTGGTAATTATCTGGTAAATACCCACCATGCCCCACAATAACATACTTTTAGTTATTAAATTATTTTAATTTGTGTGTGTCCATCCACTTAGCCATGTTAAGCAACAGATATGTTAGACCACCAACCAAAAGAGAATGGTGGAGGTCCACAGTTTAAACACAACACGACAATTGTCAATATATTTGAAGTTTTCTAGTATAGCGTAAACACAGAATAACAATGTACAACATATTAAAATTCTTAACAATGTTTATCATCAATACATTAAGTACATTTCAGTTAAATAAATTGTTGTTAATTAGTACGTAAAAATGGTAAACACCCGTTAACTTTTTTAATAGGTAGGTAGCTTTTTACGGTAGGTAGCATACTACACGAGTACTAAAATTATTTTTTTGAAAGCTTATTTAAATTATAATTATACCTTCATAAGGTCTCTGGGCCATTGAAGCGACCAATGTTGCACTCGGGACAACATTGTATTTACATCGGATGAATTCAATAATTCTTCTTCCCGTTCGAGTTTTGCGGAAAAGAATGTTATGACCATGTCTATGTTCTGGATTACATCATGGAATGCTTCATGGCTCTTCAGCGGCTCAAACACCTTGCGTTGGTAGAGTAGAGCATATACTAAATTAGGATTGTGTATTAGTTGATTAGATAGACACGAATTTATCACTTCCAATACTATACGCAATGCTTCATCAATGGCACTCATCTAAAACATAGGTACAAGTGAATTTAGTATTACAAAATTCAGTAAGTCTAGGTACATTAGCCCTAATCTATATGTTTATGGAATTTAAAAACTAACATCTTGGTTTGGGCATCTTAAAAATGTTTTTGACAGCACCTCATATAAGCTCAACATTCTTTGACAAACATATGGATGCAGCTGATTGAATTGCGATGACATGTTTGCTAATGCCGCAAAACAATTAATGTGTAAATATTTATCCTGAAAACAATGTAAATGATTAAGAGGAGAGTTACATTTTTTGAAATATGACAAAAAAATAATCGCTTACTCTCATTTTCAGTAGATTGTATTGTGCTGTTCTCGTAGTGACCAAAATAATAAGACCTCCTAGAGAAATTTCGGACACCACTCTTTCTTGATACCATGTAGCACCTTTCAGTATAATACTGTGGACGGTTTTGTTAAAGAGTTGATCTTCTGTGAGTATCAACAGTACAATAAGAGCCATGTACATATGTTGAAATCTACTACTCTGTGTATTGTAAATTGTTCTTAAAAGTGGAATCAACTAAACAAAATTAGTAGTTCAGAATCATTCTCCATAAAATACAAGTAAAAATAATTATTTCATACCACTACTTCAATATCAGTGCGAGCCAGAAGAAATGATTTAAAGCTAGGATTACAGTGTATCAAATGATACAGTAATAAAGTCTTTTCTTCACTTAATGGAGCATCCGGATTCTCACCCAAAAATTGGTATATAACCACAAGATTGTCTAAAATGTAACAAACGATACATTTAACATAATTTTTGGAATTATTTAGCCATAATTGAATTAGTGATTTTAATTTTAAAACAATTTTTACCAGATAGTGAAGCAATGCAGGTACGATATGGGTTTCCCTTTGGAGGTGGCGGTGATGTACAGTGATTAATCAATATCAACAACACACTAATTGACAATGAACTTAATGGACTCTGATTCGTTTGGACAGGAACATTAGTACTGAGTGTCAGTATGTTCCATAAGTTTGCTTAAATAATGCAACATAAACATAAACATTAGTATTTAAAAAAAAAATCATAGCAATAATATTCTCACAAGCTAGTCCATAGAAAATTCCACCTCCTGACATCACGGGTGGCTTAATTTGCTCTGTATACCTTTGTAACAATGCTTTTGACAATTTTGGAGCATCAATATTTTCCATGAATATTCTTAAAAAATTATGATTTGAGTCAGATAAGAATTTTCAAAATTAATTTAAAGACTACATACCTGTATATGATGAGACTACTAGATGGTTGAATGGTATACATTTGAATAGACAAAACAATTATAATACAATTTAAACTCTCTAAGTGAATTGAATAGGTAGAATCACTATCAAAAATAAAAATGTTAGGTATGTAAATTAATAAATTACCTAGTTATAACAATATAACAAGTATATTCATTACTTACGTTACTTTCAATTCAGAAACAATTTTAACTAAAAGTGATAAAAACTTGAATGATGTTGTTTCATTTAAATCTTCTGGAACAGCATACTCTTTACGGTCACCTAATGCTACTTCAATTCCATCTGAAACATAAAAGAAAATTAAAATTCTTAAAATGTTTTCTATATTATAAAAATATTAGCAACATTAGTTTAACAATTTGATTATAAACTGCATACATTAGACATTTAAGAAATTATTGTAAAATGGCTGTATATGGTTACCGACACCAATATTGTGTTAAATAAACTCAATGATTAATAGATGATTATGTTTTATATTAATAAAGTTTACAATATCGATAATTTAAAATCGATAAATTTCATAAAATATACAATATTTACCTATTGAATTTGTAAGTATTAAAGGATTGTGATGATGTATTACTGATTTTAAAGTAAATTTAATTTTGCCATAAAAAAACTAGGTAGGTATTTGATGAAATAATATTAATAATATTAATAATATTCTCTAATACATCACGGATAAAAATTAAATGAATGTCTTACATTAATATTGTATTTAGCTTTATATTTATTAATTAAGTGTAATAGTATTTTTCATAATAATTAGACTATACTGATACATAAAATATAAAAATATTGACAAATTCAATGAATGTATTGAAATTTATGAATTTTGAATTATAGAAATTATTATATAAGCTTTAATCAACGGCTAATAGTTTTGTTTTCTTACATTGGCCAACAGTAGAATAATAATTATATAAATATTATATTATTGTTACGTATTAAAATGCTTAAATGTCATAAATAAGGTGGATACGTATACGTATCTACTTAATTGGCTATATTCTTATTAGCAATTTTACTCGGTACCTACAATAAAATCTTAATAAATTAAATAATCAAAGTGTGCAACATAAAATCTAAGTAAAATTAAATTAGAAAAAAAAGCTTTGAATTGAATACCTATTGTAATTTTAAACTTACCGGTTTGTAACTCAAATTGATTGATGAGCTCAATTTCTTTAGAATTTTGAACGAGATATTTGAGAAAATATCGAGCAATAAAAAGTCCATTGAATACTTGCCATCGTAAAATATTGCTATAGAAAATAACATACATTTTTCAATTAGGAGATGCTTTGATTGTCATTGAGTCATTAGGGCTTACTTTTCTTCGGCTTCTAGCTTTTGAAAATCAACTTTATCCAATAGCAGTCTGATCAATGTCTTGAAATTGGAAGTGTTTCTGTTATTGACAACCAGTGATTCACAGATGCTCTTGAGGCGATCAGTCAACATTTTGTCGTCTTGGCTGAAAACAGAGAGATGTTTAAACGGCGATGAGACACTATACGCTTGTCGGTGTTAAGACGACTTCTGTAACTTATTGTGTCTACTCACCTACAGGTTGGCGGGTTCAACGAGAACGTGAGGAACGTGTCCCAGAAAGGGTCGTCTATTGTAATCTCCAGCTCACCGGCCAACCGCAGCAGACAGTCGTTGTCGGCCAGTTCACCGTGACTCGGTCCGGCACCCATGGTAACGTCGGACGTTGGCTGCACCGACCTGGTAACGTCACAGCTCTGCTCCGTCAGCTAATGACACGCCGGTCCTGGGAGCCGTCGGGAGGCCGAAAAACGCATCGGCTGGTGGTCGTGGTGCGCGAACGGACCGAAATGCCGCGTGTCCGTCCGACCGGATCGAAAAGCAAAATCGACGACGTGAAGAAATCCCACGAACAAATGGCGTTCGAGCTGGGCCGGCGAAACAGCAACAAAAACAATATTAAACAGGCGATAACACTAACAATTAATAATAATATTAACAAAGGCTGGCAAAATATTACGTTAACACCTCACGATTTCCCGTTCCTCCCGTTCGTCGGAACACTTTTTCTGTCTGCGGTACGCCCGCCGCTGCTGCATTCGTCCGCGTACGCTCTTAATTCTTATCTATGGCACACCGCTTGTTATCAGCACTGCTGCGACTGATAACGTCGTCGGCTCGAACGTGTCGACGCTCAGCGCGCGCGGCGGACCCGTCCGTTGTCTTCATACAATCATGATATCAAATCTAACTTGCTTACTTGCCACGACGACAGATTTAAACGATTTTTACTCGAGAGTTGAGACTTGAGAAGTGAGCTGCAAAGGACCCGGCTCCAACGAATTTTAAACACTAGGGTCTAGACGCTTGGTTAGTTCGTCTTGGTATACAATCTATGGTATCATAATATAATTATTATTATTATTATTTATTTATTTGTGCATCGTATGAAATTGGACGAGACGTGTCACGAATCGCGACATTTCTCCCCTGGCTGTTTTCGGTGTAGACGTGTAGTATAGGTAGAACATTTAGGTACCCTACATTTTTTGTTATTTTTTTATAGTTTATACTAATTTTTTTTAAAAAATGGGGGGGGGAATGTTCGAGTTAAAAGTGTATGGAAGGGGGCAGATGTCCTACTACACCGCGAAAACAGCCAGGGGGAAAATGCCCATTAGTCCATTTACCCATATCACCATATGCCATAGGTGAGATCGATAGCCTCGATTCGTATGGTAATTGATAGATTGAACTATTGAAGAACTCATTGCGCTTCACTTTTAATTTTTTTTATCGAAAAACAAAACGGCGATAAGATTACGCAACAACTGACGAAAAAAAATTTAAAAAATAATTCCTTTGGGCAGCATGGAAAATAATATTTATTATTGAATGCATTTAATTAAATAACGCTGACTACACTTATTAATTATTATAGTAGTATTATTACAGGAGAATCACGTTGTTGTTGTAAAAAGTATCGTGACAAACCATGAGGTCCATATAATTAAAATTAGTACCTACTACAATAATTATATTAGTTTATATCAGATCAACTACTATTCTATTAGATATATTTTATTACCTATTGTTTTAATAGAAATAGAAAAAAGTTACATGAGCACATTCACGGAAAGTGCAAAACTATAACTAAGTAAAATTTAATATAGACTAGTTAAAAAGGGAACAATTAATTTAAAATACCAATAATAACTCTTATCTGAAGCCTAGAGGTAACATTTTAAACCAACTAAATTGATACCTATATAGGCTATACGAATTATTTATGGAATATTTAATTAATAAATGTTAATAAACCATGGTAGTTTGTTGACTTAAACGTATGACTAAAGATTATGTATTTAATTATAATATATTAAGCAATGCCAATTATGTGTGACACAGGTTTATCTAAAGAACACTGTGATATTATTATATCACACATATTTTGTAACGTGAAAGAAAAAAAAATTCGTTTTTTGTCCATCACTTACCTATTATACTTATATACATCCATTATATATATATATATATATATATATATTATTATTTATTATATATATGAACCTACATACATACCTAACATACATTAATTTGGAAAAATATAATTTATTATAATTATTGCTTATGACTTTATGAGTTATACCTATCTACCTAACTCTCCGCTTATGATCTATATGGTGTATTGATTTTTGTACGTGGGAAAAAAAATAGAATTACCGAGTAAATTACGTAGTCTATAATTGGTAAGCAAAATTATAAATTCAAATTGGATATCGGTATGCAAACGTGTTTTATTTTTTTCATATAAAAAGAAGATGAGGGGGGGTTAGCAGTTAGCACTAGTGCACTACGCAGGTTGATTTCCCGTTTGTCTTGCAGGATTTAATTTCTTGTATTATAATCAGGTGTAGGTGTTCAATTTTTTACTTCTCGGAAATATTGTTCTCGTTTATATAAATAAATATATTTATCTTTATTAGGATATGGATATAATACCTACTGTTGGATAAAATCCTGTGCCCTCTCACTCTGAAATAATCACAAGTATTATAGGTACGTGCAGCAGTGCTATAATACCTACCTATATAATACGCCTCCACTGCATATGGTATAGTGTACCTATACAAGTGTATTGTATATTTGATATGGGTAGAAACGTTTGGTGGGTGCGGTTTTACAATGGAAACATATTATAAGTAGGTGTCGTTTATGACTCTCAGTTATAATATTATACTACACGTACACATATAGCTACCAGCTAGGGTATAAAAATAAACAGATTTAGGTATGTGGACGACTTAAATCACATAGGTATTATAATATACATAATATTATAGTGTGCGACAATGGTTAATATTTCGTATGGAGTGGTTCTTCTGTTGAGAAATAATTGATATAAATATATAATATAGGTAAGTACCATAGTATTATTTGCGAAATAAATTAAAAATTGGTTAATATCTGAAGTGGATTAGACAATATATAGGCTGGTTCACACTGCATAACAAATTACACTGTAGGTATTCATGTACTACAATCACTCGGTGTCGTTAGTCGTGACCGCTTATAATATAATATCGGGTGTGCAATAAAGCGTGCACCGGATATCCGTCAATGTATATATAATTACATTGATTAGTTTAATACGTAGATTTTAAATTTTGTTTATAAAGGTACCTAGGTCGTATATTATATATACCTGCTAATAGTTATTTTCAGGTTTGGGGACTGGAACATATTTCAATAATATAGCCATATAGGTATCTGGTATATACTATATACCTACCTAGGTACTACACGACGATTGTCAAACGCAAATAACAATATAATTAGGACAGTAAAATTAGGTCACATTTTTTTTATAGAACGTTTTACATTTCATTTCTACAGCGATTTGAACTTTTGTAGAAAAGTTTATCATGACGTGTTAGACTAAATACCGTGTTTTTAAAAACTTGAAAAATGTTATGTAGGTACTTATAACGTTTTCCGTCTAAGCACTATAGTTTATATAGATTTGTTTTATAGTGTGTAGCGTAAGTTATTTCTCACAATAATAAATTTCTTTTGAAATTACCTATGTGATTTGAAAAATAAACACATACAATATAATATAGGTAATACGTAATACTACCTAGTACCTATACTTAAGTTAGATATTTACTATTTAGTTCATACAATTATATAAACTACTAGCTGATCCCGTGCACTTCGTTGCCCGTTCAATGTGCCAACTCTATATGCCTCAAACTGTGTTCAATTCGTTATTTATAATATTCGGTGTATGGTGTTCAAAATGTATCTTAACTTTTTCGTTGCCCGGAATGAAAATTCTGATTTGCAGCAGTATATTATCAGGTAGGCAATCTACCTGCGGTAGATCGCGGACCCCGTGCTGTTTGTACGTAACTGTATGATTTAACTCTTATGTATCAAAGTTATAGCAAGTTTATCGTGTTCCACCTATAATGGATTAATATAATCTATTAATACAAAATCCTAACCTAAAATAACCGTACCAATATCAGATGAATAATAAAAACCAAATTTAACCAAATGTACCAACTTTATATGACTCAAACGGTGTTCAATTCATTATTTAATATTCGGTGCATATAGTGTTAAAAATTTATCTTAAATTTTCTGTCACCCTGAATAAAAATTCTGATTCGCAGCAGTACATTATCAGGTAGGCAATCTACCAGCTAGGTAACAAACATGGCCGATTAAACAATAGCAACCAATATATTATACACCGGTGGATTTTCCTAAAATTTTCTTTCATATAAACCTTCTTCGTGAAATACTCTTTCGTTTAAAAAAAAATCAAGAAGATATGATAAGTAGTTCCAGAGTTCAGCCCGTACAGGGATTTTCATTTCACATTTTTATAGTTGGATATAATATTATAATTTATATTTAAAAAGTAAAGCAAATAGTTTATTTTTATTATTATTATTATTATTTCTATATGGCTTATAATTTATAAACCCATCATTGCTATAGACGCATAATAATAATAGATACTGTTTGAATAATGTTCAATAACAAATAGTCGATGTATTATATTATAATAAATGGTTTGTTTGTGCTCGTGGCAACGACTTAAAACGATTAACTATAATTCTGTATTAAAATTTCTATAACGAATCATTTTATAATACGTCACTCATGGCAACCATTTATAAACAAAAATTTCGATCTGAATTTAATGAAAATTTTTAATAATTGATAACTCCTTTGTTTATTAAGTTAGAGAATCGATCAAAAGCCATAAACTTTCTCCGCAATGAGCTCTTCAATTTAAAAAAAAAAATCATAACGATCGGTTCAGTAGTTTCCGAGAACATATCACTCAAAGGTTTTCATTTTCACATTTATATACGTATTAGATTAAACTCTGATAGGTTTTAGAATTGTTTTTCTTTTATTTAATAATATTAATATTTACCATCAATTAATTTGTTTAATTTTACAAAGTTCATTACAGTTATATTATAATATAATACCTATGTGATAAGTAATAACTGATAAGTCTTGACTTATAGACTATAGTATAAATACAAGTTACAACACGCTGTAATTCACAGTTAATTAATACACATTATGTCAGTATGGCACCTATAGTATGCACCTATAAATAGTATACCTAAACAAATTTTTTCTTAATCCTGTTTGATTATTTAGATTCAAGTCTTTTAAAAAT